GTTAATAAAATACTTTCTATTCATCCACTCAAGTTCAAATACATTTTGTTTAAACTTGACACTTGATTTTAATACAGTTCTTTCAAATATTAATTCATTAATTCTGTTTAATGAATGAATGAATAGTAACAAACAAAAATAATAGCCCAGCAGCATATATGAAGGAAAATCGCTCTTTGTGTCATTGTAGCGCAATGGATAGCGCTTTGGACTTCTAACCCAAAGGTAGTGGGTTCGAATCCCACCTGGAATAGCCTAATTTCTGAGAATGTGATTTCTTTTTTACTATACTATTTTATTATAATGATTAAATTTAATTAATGAATAAATAGTAAAAAAAAAAGAGTCCAACACCCTATAAAGAAAGGAAAATGGAAAATTGCAAGGAAAATCGCTTTCTATTTTGTCACTTAATATTGCAATTCTTTCATATGTATGCACATGTTTATATTAATTGTAATTATTTAATAAAAAGTAACTAAAATAAAATTTTTCTTTGTTGACCTAAGTAGGAATTGACTTTAAATTTTTTTGTTTGTATAACTTGCTTTTCATAAACTTATTTTAAATTATTTAATTTAATTTAAATCTTAATTTTTGAAAAAGATTCCTTAAATTTGAATCAAATTAGATTCAAAAAAAGTAAGAAAGTGAAAAAGTTCGAATAAAACATTATTAAATTTTCTTTGAAAATGATTTCTCTCTATAATTGTCTCAGTCCACTTTTTAAATAGACTTAGCAATAATATTATATCCATTGCTTCTTAATAACATGTTTGTTAAATACGTCACAAACATATTTTTCATTTTTTATTCATTTATTTATTTTCTTTTTTGATAATTTAACTTGAATTCATAATTTATATTCATAAAGATTCTCAATTTTGGGATATTTGGTCGAACTTTTATGGGGGGGGGGGAATACAAATGGAAGCTTATACATTAGAAGATACTTATTTAAAACTGAAATACAATTAAACCCAATGAAGAAGTAAAACACTGAAATCACTTTTTTCCTGTTATAGTAGATTTTGACGTCTGGCTTGATTCCGCTTTGTTGTTTCATTGAGGTCGCAACGGAAAAAGAATGTAAATGACCTCATCGCAATGCTGGAATTTCCTAGTATTCCTACCAACTGCATGTGTTAAACAAAGACATTATGAATTAACTTTTTTTAAAGAAAACATCTTTTCTAAATTTATTATTTTTTTTTAAAAAAAAAATGAATCTGTTCTACGACTGAAATATCATTTTTACTGAAAATTCAAGTTAAAATTCTCAAGGCCTAAGTTTAAGTGAGAGAAATTTATTTAAAGCATTATGCGTCATAAAATACATAATTTTAGGGTTAAATTAAAACCTAGCTCAACTTGTGACACAATGTGGTACGATGGCGTTGTATCTGTGGCGCGCAAAAAGTTACAGAAAACTTTACAAATTTTTGTGTGAAAAGATAATAAATAACCATTTTTTGCAATTTTATTGAAATGGGGTTGTCTCAGACAAAAAGTCTGAAAATTTAGAGCAAAATATGCTTGTGAATAAATTTTTTCTGCTATGAACAGAATAAAATAAGTATCACTCAAAACTAGCTAATGTGCACCTAGATTAACCGAATTTTGTCACCTTCTGTAAGATCTAACCCTAATATAGATGTCGTGGTAAAAAAAAAAAGAAAGAAAATGTTATGATTCAAAAGCCACATTAAGTTGAAACGGAGCGTTTAATAATTATTTTGAATTAAATGATTCAAGTTACTCATTTTTATTTTGTGCCTAACCTAATTGATTGAACTTGTAAAAAGTTTATCAGCAATAAAACCTAAGCTAGTACTTTCCTGTTATTTATTATATTATTTTTAAATTTCTACTACATAGACTTGCATTAAAAAAACTGTGCTAGTTGCGTAAATATCCCATAAGCTTATAAGTAACAACTTTTCAATTTTCCATATTTGTTTGTTGTAAAAGTTGAAAGGGGTTCGCATAGTTTTTTTTACCAAAGAGTGGCACTCTTCCCAAAAAGGTTATCCACCCGTCATACTGGAATAAAATTTGTATTCTAAAAGAAAATCCAAAATTTAATTTGAAAACATTCAATTGACCTTTTTTAATTGTTCTTTAACTTTTTTAGACGTATACTTTTCAATATATAAATGAAAAGATTAACTGTTCATAACACAGATTTTTTCCCCCCTATTCAATCGAAAGGGGAAATTCTAGAAATTAATGTTATGTAATTTTCACTTCCGTTTTAAATATCATGTTATTTATTTACAAAGGCTTATGGGATGTATTTTCTCGGACTAAAAATAATATTTTAAATTGGTATTGATTTTTAAGATCTATGAAAATATCAGTTAAAGATACGAATTAGTAATGAATGAAAACATAAAGAAAAACTTATTTTGATGTAACATGTTTTTAGTAGAAAAATGTAATTGTAACTGATAAAGTGAATTAATTATAAATGTTAAAGTATGTATGCAATTTTTTTTGTGGTGGAATTTAAACATTTGAATAAATGTAAAACAATGCTCTTTTCATAAATGATTTAATAGAAACATAAGAATCAAGATTGAATAACTGTCTAGTTTAAAAACATTTTTTTACTACAGTAAGTATACTTACTAAGACGATAACAGTGAGGAAAGCAAACAAATTTGATTTATAAAAGAATTCAGGGTTTTTTTTCTAGTTCTAGAAGCAACTGTTTTTGATTTACACTTCATTTACGTGTAATCCAGCATTTCTCAAACTGAGGGGCACGCCCCCCTAAAGGGTTTGATAACTCTACGTGGGGGGCGCGAGCATGTCGAAAATAAAATATTTTAAAAATTACTAATTTACTGAAAGGAAGCAAAACAAAACACATTCTGACACAATTAAAAATAAAACACACAGTTGTACTGATATAATGTACTTATAAATGTATTAGTACTACACAATGTATTTGATAACCAATTTATCACAATACCAAGTTAAGAAAAAGATTCATAATTACTAGTGACTCTGTCATGGGCTTGACATATCAAAACTATATACAAAATTTAATAGTTATAATTTGTACGGTGTATAATTAAGGTAGTATTGTAGCTTTAATGTCAAAGTAGATTATTGCATTCAATATATTGTTATTGCACGGAGTGTGGCGCGATGAAAATTGTGATTGAAAATTGTGTCACCAATATTGAAAGTTTGAAAAAAACTGGTGTAATCAATACAAAAGTGCACCGTAATAGATTAAGAAAAGCTATGAAAATGAAGGTACACTATTTTTATTTATAATTGTTTATAACATTGATTTCAAAATTTTCAGACAATCTGATAAAAATAGTTGCTAGAATAACAAAAATACTTAGTTCACGTATAGTGCTTACAATATTATGAGAATAGCATGCAATAATGAACTTTTTACTAGGTTTATAGTCTCCACAACGTTACTTATAATTAAATAAAAAGTATTTCTCGAAAATACAATGTGTAAAGAAACCGTTCCTACATTTTTCTTTTCTTTTTGATAAGGCAATAATTATGCTCATATTTTGACTTTATCTCGGAGTTTTCCCTCATCTAAACAAATGAGGTAATGGATAAAAGCACCCTTACCTCTCACCATCATTACGAAACTGAAGAGACAATATCATCTATCGGCTAGCTCATCCCTACATTCAAACGCTCCTGTTGAAACCTGATACCTCTCGTATAATGGGCAACTTGAGTAATCATCGTGCAAACCATTATCTTAAAAAATATATTTCAATATAACTACGTCGTATAAAACTAGACGTCCTAATAGTGTAAATTTGATCCTTCATTAGAAAAAGGGTAAAATGCTGAGAAATTTGCGTTTTTTTTTTATTCTTCTGCTCTCCTTTTCTCGCTCCCCCTCTTTGCACCCACAATCTCGTCTTCCCTCCCCTCTTATCACCGTATTATTACACTCAGTAATTTATTACTCTCCAGGAACAATAAAACGCTCTTACGAGAGAGACTTTCAGGTCATATCACGGTATTGCATAAATCACAACCCCTTGTAATTGGCCATAAATTACCAAATCGGCCCCGGAAAAGAATTAATAATCACAACAACAACAAGCCAAAATAAAAGAGACTAGAATAATCTAATAATAATAATAATAGCAATAAAAATATAAAAATGAAAAATTCTCGTCATCTTGACTAATTAAACTATAAATTTCCACCGAATATTATGTTGGAAATTGCAATTCCCCGACCAAAAAAAAAATCCTGCAACATCGCTTTACTTTCGTAAAGTCAGGGAGGCATAACAAATGTTTCGCTGATTTTTAATATTATTTGTTTTTAATATTAAGCTCTTCGCAGTTGTTTCTCGCGGACAATTAGCCTCCTAACGAATGTTGCTGTGATTTATTCCAATTTTTTTTCGCTTCCCCTGCGCATTTTTTCCTTGCCCTCCCCCTCTACCGAGCCTTTTATTCATATTAAGGAATTTGTGGCTTCTCTGGGATTGTTAGTTTAAATTAATTGCGATCAGCAATTATCTATTTATGTGCTTATATTCGAGATACTTTCAGGACATTCAAATGGCGGGGAAGGAAACGATTTTTATTAGATTTTTCGTTTCGATTTTTATTACGCCGTTTAGCATCTGATTAAAAACTCATTCCTCGCCTGATCAATAGAATGAGAATTAGTTTTCTGGCCTTTTGAGCGGGTTTTTTTTTTCTAAACTTGTCTCGGAATTTCGAATTAAAAATGGGAAATTTTTATAAATAGAAAAAAAGAAGAAAAAAACTATTTTTCTGTTCGTACGACTAGGAAAGGATTTATTCGGATCTAATCGTTGAGAGCACTAAGAATCATTTGTAAATTTTTAATAATTTTACTTCAAGGCGATAAAAATTACAATATAAAATAAGATGAACACTGCATTCTAATTTGAGAGGGCTGCGGCAGCTTAGTGGTTATGGTCACGAACTCGTGGCTGAAGTGTCGTTGGTTCGAGTTCTGGTTGTGTCGAAATAGCTCAGTTGGGAGAGCGTTAGACTGAAGATCTGAAGGTTCCTGGTTCAATCCCATGTTTTGGCAGCCTCTAGTATCCTCGGTAGTGTAGTGGTCAGTATCCCCGCCTGCCCCCGATGCCCGCGATGCCCCCCAAAAGCCCTCGTGTAGCTTAAGGCTATTTTCACCACGTACATAAGAGCGTAAACTTAACGCGGAGCACATTTTTGGACAGATAAAAAGCCTCAATTTTTTTTTTATAAAAATTTGTAACATTGTAACTCATGCATTTGTTTATAATATAGTGTATTTAAAATTTTAAAATATTTCATAAATTATTTGTTTTTTCTTTAAATATGTTAAGGGATAACTCATTTAGCATTATGGTATATGAGAAAAAACGCGATACACATTTTATAAAAGAAAAAAATGTGTTAACTCGGACACAAATGAGTAGTATGTTAAAATAGGTAATTCTCTACATGATAGTGAAGCCAGAATATAATATTAATGATTGTGCACCTCTTTATATCTGAAAAAATATTCCAAATTTGGGTCCAGTTCTTTAACATTAACCGAAAACAGCCTTAACGGTGCGACGTTAATATTTACTCACTCACTCGAGTTCTGGTACCATTGAAGACCCACTGTGCAAGAGGGTCCAATGCATTTTAATTCAATCGTGGCGCAATATCCACCCTTTGGCGTGGTGTGGTAGTTTGGAGAAAAGAGGTTTTAACTCAGGTGTCGCTCTCGGCTCTTGACACAAGTTTAAAATTGCGAGGTCTATCTTCAAAAGCCTTTGTGTTGCTTTATAGTGCTACGTTAATAAAAATCTCACTCTAATTTTAGAATTCTATAGATTATAAAAATTTCTTATTTTCTTTCGTTCCTCGTCCTAAGACTCTTTTGAGTCCCTGGGCTAAGAGAAATTTTAAGATCTTTTGAGGCACTGGACCTCCATACAAAAGTAGGCCCTACCTAATATCTTTAGAAGTAGACTGTAGAAAGAATGCATTGTCAAATACTCGTTCAAACGATAATTTGAAACAAATAAGTGTGCACGACTCACAATCTCAAAAATCTAGGCCAGTTGACATGCAGTTTGAAAATCCCTATTTTCCAGAGAATATGTAAGGGAATGATACCATTTGACCATTAAAATATCCGGATCATGATCTTAAGACAGAATCGAGAACGAAACGAGGCCTCCACCGAGGGTGAGGCCCCGGGCCCAGTTGGCCCATGCCTTAAGATGTCCCTGATTGCAATAGACCTTAAAAGTTTGCACATAAACAACAAAAAATAAAAAAATCTAATTAACATTTTAGAACATGGTTTGATAATTAAAAATACATTTGTGAACATGAATGTTCAAGAAAAGCAATGGAATTTTTTCAGTGGGATTTGTTGGTTTATCTCTTAACTGTTAAAAAAATTATCTGTATATTTTAAACTAATAATTAATTCTCCGATTAAAATTTTTAAGTAATTCCTTCATTTTATTGTTAAAAGTCTTGTAAATGTATGGGAATGATTGAAAATATTACTTTATAATATCGTTGTATTAAAAATTAGTGTATATTATATGAGGGTGGAAATGGGTATCATAAATTATTTTTTTTTTTGAGGGGGGAGTTAAATTTTTATTTCATTGAATTAAAAATACAGAGGATGTTATATTTTTGCATAATAATACATAAGCTTGATTATATTCCTAATAAATATTTAAGTTATTATCTGTAAAAACTTTCTTTTCTTTAATAAAAATATTAATTAACAATTTCTTGTAATTTTTTTTTTAAATTACTCTATCAAATTAATACAAACTATTTTGTATCTTGAACGATTTATTTTTTTTAAAAAAAATTACACTTACAGTTTTTATTAAATTTTTCACAATTTACTACCAAATAAATTTCTAAGTTATCTCATATCACCTCTTTTAGTGTTTCCTTACGTTCGCTTAAATATAAGTCAATAATTAATTAGTACTTATAATAGAATTTTCACTTCCTGTAAATTAAAAGTTCTTCGAAAGCATTACATCCTTATTTCCTCATGTGCGATTTATGAGGTAGTTGTTTTACAAGAGGTATTGCAAGTATTTTTCCAAATAAATTGTTGCTATTTCATCAAAAATTTCCTTAAATTTCAATCCGATATTGCAATAAGTTTAGGATCAGTTTTTTTATTATCTGTTTATGAAATCGCAATTTAAATAATACGCTCAATGTCATTTCTTCAGTTGCTAACTTCATAATTTTCTAATCGAATAAGTATGAATGCCTTATCTCATTATTAAATCATTTATCTCTTCTTAAACTTAACATTAGCTTTGCTAATGCTATATTTCTTAATATCTTATCTTATTAACATTCTGAATTCCATTCACTTAAAATTTTTTTAAAAAAAAGTCCTTTGTTTTTTTTGATAGAATTTAAATATACTTAATATGAATTCATATTGGTTATGATATATTTGTTTATTTTTGAGAAGGTAAATGTTATGAGTTTGACGTATGCGTAATCAGTGGCTTAACGGAGTATACTAGGGCCCCAAGCCGGATCTTAAGTACTTGGCATCACTCAGGCTTTGGGTCCTTCTGGAGTCATGGGCCCCCCGCGGTGTGTGGAAGGTGCACATTACACCGCTTTGCGCAATATATAACCTTATGATTCCTGATTTTCATGATTTGATTTCTTTGACTTACTTAGGATTTTTTAATCTTTCTTAATATAGTAAACATCTTTTTCTGTATTTTCTTTTAAACTTTAGTAGATCTGATATTTGGAAATTCGGTGCTTTTCCTTTACGCTGGCTCAAATCTCCCCGACGGCATTATTGGCGACAACACTCAATATACACATAAAAAATATCAATTCTTATTATCTCTCTGTGGTTTTTCATCAGTTTTCGATATGGTATGAAAAAGACGTTACTGATAAGAAAAGACCACGACTTGTTTTGAAATGTGGCAGTAAAGGGTTACCATTGGGAATATATTGTTTGGCGTTGGTTGCATCATTTTTGGTGACTATCACCTGGGCTGGCGAAAAAAAGTACCATAAATTCCTAAGCTCAATAGAATTAAAGGGGGATGTGTAAAAAACAGTTCGAAGTTAAACTTTCTCTGGTGTTATTTTTCGGGGTTTTTTTTTTTTTTATTGTATAAAGTTGGTCTTTTCAAGTATTTGCTCACTTATAGTTAAAAGAATAAAATAGAATATTGAATTGGTAATAAAAACTTAACCTGCTGGAAACTTAAAACTGCTTGCAAAATTTGCTTTTGAGTTAACTTTATTCTAGCTTTTACTGAGTCCAGTACTGTATTTAAGACATTTAAACAAATGTTGTTTTAAAGTTAACTTTAGTGGAGAAATTTTTGAGTATACTTTTAAAAAATACTACATATTTAGGTCATAAAATTCTAAAATGATTAGATAATGGTAACTTAATTTTTAAGATACGTGTTAATGTAAATATTGTAATGGATGATGAGTATGAGTTTAGTCTATATATATAATCTGTGTGCAAAATCCCATTTTAAAACCAAAACTACAGAAATTTATAAAAGTTAAAAGACAAAATTTAAAAGTCTCAATAAAATCTCATAATTAATTTTTTTTTTCAAATATGAGACTCCATTATGGGATTTTTTGAGACATTTAATTTGTATTCTTAACTTTTATAGACTTTTGTAATTCTGATTCGAGACTGGGATTTGCTCAGGCCAAATTAACTAATTTTCCGTTTTTGCTATTACACATTATTGCAATGCTAATTCTTACATAATTATATATTTTGTCATAATTTTCAATGTGGTTTTTGGCGAGCCTATTTACTTTATTAACTGATGAAATCTTTATCTGTTTCTGCGTGCTTCTAATTTAATTTTTTAAATTTTCCGAAAATATGTAAAATTATGTTTAACATTTAAATAAGTACCTATTTCATTCAGAACGTTTTAAGTGTTCAGTAATGAAAAGACGATAGTTAACTAGAAACAATGGATGCAATCAAAATAATGTAACAAATGCAGATTGCCTGTAGCCCCGTAAGAGTATCCTTTTGTAAAACTTCTCGCCTGCTATGCAGTGAGAATAAAATAACTAGATTTTCGGCTCACTACAGTTTAACTTAATATTCAAATCAGCCTACTGTATGCCACTGTGGTGAATAATGAATATGTTATTCTGCACGAAATTCAAATAATTTCATAAACAAATATATATTAAATTTGCTTCACTCTGCGTTAAATTTGAAGAGGTTTTAATTCATCTCTTTTCAGTTTGCCGAATAATTAAGTCAAACATTAAAGATCATTTCGCACAGCTCTGAAAGGGAACTATTAAAATTAAAATATAAAGACAATTAGTTTCTGTCGATTCCACGCAACCCTTATTTTATAATAGCCCGAAAAAAATTATTTATAACCCTAATTTCTTTTATGAATTTTCTTTGATACATCCTTAAAATATTTACACGTATCTATTGAAAATGTTCAGAAAACTATGAGATATTCTGGCACCAGATTTATGCGTAAGTATTTTTATTAATAGCTGATTACAATCCCACATTTTTAAAAAGATTTAATTTAGATAAATTTGATATAAAATATGTATTAAATTTGTTATTATTTTTTTAAATTTCTTCAATTTTTTTTAAGTTATAAGGAAGAATAATTTAATAAATCATATCTTTTCTTTTCTTTTTCTTTACAAACAGTGATACTGGTTTTATAATAAGTAACTTAAGATTTCAATAGAATAAGTGAATTAGTTCTAAAAAATGACACTGAGTATTGGTACATTTTTAAGATCTCTTTGCGGAAACTCATACTTTATATAATTTGGATGAAGTATACTTGTTCAGCTCCTCAAAATATTTCTAGAGAGAAATGGGGGGGAAAAGTACGAAATTTGATATAAGGTGGGAGAAGAAACACTTATAAAATGTATTTTTCTTTAGATAAATAAATAGTTCAAATTTTTCAATACTTTTGAATATTCTACATTGTACTTGATTAAATTAACAATTTTTTGCGATGAACAATATCAACAATTATAATGATTGAAGCAAACAAC